ACCAAAAACTAATTATTTTATTGTATAAAAATCCTCAAGAATTATGAAACAAAAAAAACAAACTAATATCTAAATGTCGCCATGAGAACAAGTTTTTGCTGGACAACCACAAACCAAAAGATTAGATTTTTTAAACTCTGTTTCTTTTGTACAGATTTATTATTTTTTTACAAGAAAAAAAACATATTTACACCTGATGATTGCATTTAGCATGAAACTTATAGTTGTGAAAAATATGTAGTTTTATTAATAAATAATATATGTAAATACAGCTCTGTTTTAATTTAAACCATTGTAATTTACTTTAATTCATCGAGCACTCTCACAAAGATATATGCAAGCACTAATACGTATACATATATATATATATATATATATATATATATATATATATATATATATATATATATATATATATATATATATATATATATATATAATTAGAAATATATCTATCTATCTATCTATCTATCTATCTATCTATATATATATATATATATATATATATATATATATATATATATATATATATATATATATATATATATATATATATATATATATATATATATACAATTAGAAATATAAAAACATAGACAATTAGAAAAAAGAAAAGAGCAGCATAATGGTAGCTTAGCGATTTTAATTGAAAAAATGTGACTTTTAAAGCAAACCTATATATTCTTTAAAAAAACAACCAAGCTCCTCAAGTGATATATATGTTTCATTTTCAATAATGTTCCCATTTCCACTTAGTACTTCATCACTAAACAAAAAAACAAAGTTACTAATTTGGAATCAATGAGCTTGAAAATAGCATATATTGTAATACTTAAAATACTTCATATGAAAGAGAAAAATATGATTTTTCTCTTTCATGTATATGAATCAAAAAAGTAAAAATGTTAAAAAGTAAAAAAATACTTCAAAAGAGAAAAATCACAAACAAACAATTTATAAATTTTTTATGCATCTAACATTGGCAGAAGTTTTAAATTCAAAGCCAAAATTTTAGACACACACAAAAAAAATATATATATATATAATCTATATATATATATAACAGCGAAATGAGATTTCAGAAAAGTTTGTTTTATTATTTTTGTTTCTTTAGCTCATTTCAATATTTTCTGCATTTTATTCAGACTTTAGAACTTTTACTATTCAAATTCATATAATCTCCATGGCAACTTTTGTGAAAATAATTATTTGTTTCTTTGAAATATTTTCTTTGAACCAGTTTTTCCTCATTAAACTGGCAATCACTTTTCTTTTTTAACCCATGTTTCTTTAACATACTATAAACATTATTTATTTTGCATGCTTAAGCTCATATTTTAAGTGTTCCATTGACAAACAGTTGGAACTTTGAGTAATTGTTAGTATGGTTTCAAGATAAAACATCATGTCTTTAAAACCTATTGAAAACTGAAAGAGTCCAACCAACTAATTATTAAAAAAAAAAAGTTCCCCCAAGTTGTTCTACATTTTTTTACTTATTTCTTGGAATTTATTTTTACTTACCTTTTTACAACCTATTTTCACAGACTGTGTCATTTTTTAACAAACTATCTAAAAGAATTATAATGAAAAAATTTGAATTACTGTAATGAAAACAGCTCTAATTATTTAATCGGGAGAGGTTACTTAAATGAGGAGATGGCAAGCATATAAGTGCACTTTGGACGGCTTTAGTATTACAGTAAAAACATTAAGTTCTAATCTACAAAACAAGTGTGTGTGTGTGGCATAGGGTTGTAACTGGATAAAACAGTTCTTTAGAAGATATAAATATTTCATTCACTATTTATAAAGATAGTTACTAAATTATTAGGTTCATTTTGTAAAGAAAAGCGATTGGCTGCCTTCATTAAACTCTGTTTTGTAAGTAAACCAACTAAAACTCATATTTAAACAGAAAATAAACTTAGGGGAAAGGCGCCTATGATGGCATACTTAACTTTGAAGCTTCATTATTTAGTATCCTGAAGACCAAGAACAAAAGTTTTGATATAGATACATTCTTTGTTACATACAGACCAATATAACCCCAGGAGTTTTCAACAGCTTTATTTTTTTATTAGTTATTTTTATTAAAAAAAAAAGTACAAGTATGCCATCATAGGCAACTACTGCTCCTATGATGGCATAGGGGAGGATGTCAGTATGCCATCATAGGAAGAAGTCATCATTTTCATTTAAACAAGCTATGTCTGCCTTGTTAAAAAGATAAAATTAAAATAAGCATTCCATTAACTGCACAAAACTTGGAAATAAAAAGCATGAAAATTTCGTTTCTGCACAGTTAATAATAAAATCACAATATTAAATAATAAAAGGGATTAAAAATACAACATCCCAAAATCAATTTTTGTTGATTATAAAAGCAATATTTGCGTAAAAGAGACGTATTTTTACTAAAACTAATTTAAATTTAGTATAAACATGTTGGTCTAATCACTTTTTTGCCATAACCAATATTTATGAAAATATGACTGGTATGCCATCATAGGCGCTATGCCATCATAGGCGCCTTTCCCCTAGTTCTTTTTATGAAAAAAATGAAATTACTAATTGGATGAAGTTAAATAGGAATCATTCACCAGAAGATTTTGATTTCAAATAAAATCTCAATTGTGTAATTTACTACATAACTAAGATTTTATTTGCACAATTTAGATGTTATTTATACACTTAATATTTTATCTGTATTTTGCATTTTCCATTAGTTCCTAAATCAATAAAAGTTAATAATTATTTATATGTACTATTGCAAAAGAAATTTGCAAGGTCCCACTTTTACTATGGTAAACTAAAGATTATAAAACAAAAATGTTATGTTAAGTAGTATGAATATGCTAGAAAGCCTTGCATCACACACAAAAATCATTGCTTGCTCTAAATATGTTTAAATTTTGATAAATTAAGAAGCAGAATAACTATGAGGATACTAGCATTTTTTTAATATATATAAACAGACCTTTTGGAATCAGTTTTCAAAATGTAGTATATCAGGCTGTTTACCATAGTAAGTCATTCTTACTCCTAATATTTATAATTCCACTAATCTTTTAATATTTATTTAAATAAAGAAATAAATTATATATATATATATATATATATATATATATATATATATATATATATATATACATATATATATATATATATATACATATATATATATATATATATATATATATATATATATATATATATATATATATATATATACATATATATATATATGTATATATATATATATATATATATATATATATATATATATATATATATATATATATATATATATAAACTTAACAGCTTACCAATTATTTAAATTTACAAGCTGTTCATAACGCTTACGAGCTTCTAATTCAAATTCAATGATTTGATCATCATCAGGACTTTGTTTATTACACCATAATATTGCTTTACCTTCACGATATGGAAAAACATTCAAGATCGCTGCCCATGCAACAGTTTCAGAAATATCGTATTCATCTTGCAGCAAATTAACTATATTTTGAATTTCAATTGCTGTCATTTCCTCAAAGTTAGATTGACTTTTAACTTTTTTCCAATCATCCTTAGTAGACTGATTCTTTCCCAATAAAGAATGTGACAAGCTAAAAGCATTCTTAATATTGCTAGAAGTGACATCATGGCCAAAAAATTTTAAAAGACTATAAAATTGTGATGGCAGTTTATTACAATATTTTGAATCTTTGGACAGCAAATACAAATGCTTCTGCAGAAAAAGACATTGTCTTACGGTAAAATGATTTATAACAGGATTTACCGAACGAATACTTTTTAAAATGTTATTCCATTCAGTCAGTTTTTTTTCTATTTTTTCAGTTTCAATTCTTAAATCAGCTAATAAATTTTCTTTATCAGATTCTATATTACATAAGAAGGTTTTTTTCCAATTAATGTAGTTGACATCACCAGCATCACAAAGCATCATATAAGCATGACCCAATCGCATAATGACTTCAACAACCTAAATGAGATATTAATTTTTAACAAAAAGAAGGTAAAAATGATTATTTAATTCATAAATTTTAAACTTAATAAGCTAAATAAGCTAAATAAGCAAGTAAATTCTTTTTGCTGTAAAGGAAAAACTAAGTTAGTGGATGTAATAATTTAATAACTCATAGGATAGTTTCTATGAAAAATTTAAGTAAAAAAATATAATTTGACTTGGTAATTTTGAGACTTCATTACTAGCAATAAAATATCATAGTATTAACAATATACTATTTCATTTATTTTTTAGTAAACACTAATAGAGTAGAAAGTTACTGGAAGAGAAAAAATGAAGTTTATAGAGAAAGATAAGGAACGACAGGCAACTTAAAAGATTGCAAACTATATGAATCTGAAAAGCAAGATAAAGTAAGCGAATTCCAAATAACTGATGCTTGAGAAAGAAAACTAAACAAATAAGTTTTTGTGGCACTTAGGAATAGTCACAGAAAAAGGATGAGACTTAATTGAATGACGAGTAACACGAGAATGATCTTTTATTAGTAGATGGCACAAGAGATGCTAGCTCTTTAGAGCAGTGCATACTATTGCATTTATAGAAAAGAGCAAGAGAATAGTAAAACGATGTGAAAATGGTTGGAGGTTGGCTGTAAGAGAAAGTCTAACTATGCTTACAATACGTTTTTGCAGCTTGTCTAAAAGTATAAGGGCATCATTCAAAGATCATAGAATGTTGGTTTTCTTATCAAGACAAGATTAAATGGTAGTATTATCACTGAACAATGCCACCTTAGATGTAAAAATATCTGAAAGATTGTTAATGTAAATTAAAAAGAGTATAGAGCCAAGGATAGAACCTTGAGAAACCCCTGAAGTTACAGGATATCTGTCCATTAAGGACAACTTTTATACTACTATTGGAAAGGAAGGATTCAATAATCTTAAAGATGTTACCTGATACACTGTAAGAAGAAAGCTTATGGAAAAGACCAGCATACCAAACATTATCAAAATATCTTTAGAAATGTCAAGCTGTAGAAAAGTCTAAGCAAGAAATCACTGAAGACACAGAAGCTGGCATGATACTAATGTCAAGCAATGGATCATTTTGTTTGTCTGCAATATCAGGTAAAATGCAACTAATAGAATCAAGAGATGATGTTGTTGAAAAGTTCTTAACAAACAATTTAGCTTTGTCTTTAGGTGAGGTGACAAAATCTGAACCACCCAAGAGAGGTGGAATATCAGATTTATTATTAGATTGATACTATAAAAGTCACAAGAGCCTAAGTTTTGAGATGAAATACAAGATTTTATGACCTGAGAATACCGGGCTTTAGCAAAAAAAGGCAAAACCTTTTACAATGGCTTTTACCAATAGTAAACAGACGTCTGTTTTCTAGAGAATTGTTTTTCTTATAGATTTGGAAGTAATGGTTTCGATTCAAAATAGCAGCAGGACGATGTAAGGTAAACCAAGGAGAAGAGTGAGGCTTGACTTAAAATCATCGAGAGTGAATAAAAGATTCAATGCCAGCCTGAATCCAAGAAGTTATGTAAGAAACACATTTGTCAGCAGGAAGACAAAAATTTCTACTCAAGGGCCACCACCAAAAAAAATCACAGGAGCCCCAGTCAGCTTTAAGGTCGTTGTAAGAGGTACAATGATAGGGGGATTCTGATGATGAAAAAGAAAGAGATCAAACCATGATCAGAAGCACCTTGAAGCAAGAGTAAATGTGGAGAAACTGAGCACTGACTAGAATCAGAAACAAGACATAAGTCGAGTAGAGAAGGTAAATGATTCAAATTGTCTGGGATGCGAGTTGGAAAGTTGACTATTTGAGTTAGGGATTAAGAAAGGCAAAAGTTGTGCACTTAAACGCCTGCAGAGTCACTGACACTAGATTCAAGTCATTCTGTGTGATGAGCATTAAAGTCACCAACAACAACGATATTGGCTGATGGATAAAGATAGAGGGCTCAATATGATCAGAAATACAGAGTACAGTCTTGAGATGAAGGAGAGCGATATATAACAAAGAGAAAGACAATAGAGTGAAGTGGTGCTAAATGAAAGCACATAAAAGAATAGTCGGTGGATTATCACCTAGTTTACCGACAAATGGACAAATTCTTACAAATGTAAATGCCCAGGCCGAGCATGTGACTATTGGAGTCTATAAAGGAAGATAACTATCATCATTAAGATTACAAGATGAGACAGCCAAACCCAAATTAGTCTTACAAAGAGCAAATAGGTCTGGTGAACTTTACAAGACTCAACAAAAGAAAAATTACTTCAAAGACCACGAATATTAGTGAATGATAGGTTTAGAGAACTTAGTGATGATGATGGTTTTTTGTTTTATATAGTTTTTGGTACTTTATTCATTTTTAAATTTGTTAAAGGACTTGACTCAAAGCAGTATTCAATACACTATTTAATAGCCCAAGCAATTGCCTTATTACTATTAACAAACCCTAAGCTGTAAAAAGGGCTTCAAATGTGGCCTTAACAATGCACACTAAAAGTATGAACAGGGACACCATCCATGCGCAACATATCAGACACTGTTAGTACTCTGATATTTTACAGCTGTTGATGGATTCAGCCTCTCTGAGAGATACCACAGAGTTTGGGAAATCTGACTATCAGATGACTTCAGAACCATAAAACTGAGTTTTAGAGCTGTACCTAACAATTTTTTTTGGGGAATAGTTGTTGCATTGTTTTACAATGTGAAATAGACAACTTGAAAAATATAGATTTGGTTTGTTTCAAAAAAAGTCCCACTGTAAAATATTTGACTACTTTTTTTTAATATTTGGCTATTATTGTCAAATATATTATTGTTAAAAACTAAAATCAAATGATTAAAGATAATGATCAAAGTCTCAATAAAAAACAACTATTCAGCAAACATTGTTTTGGCAAACTTGCTGTGGACCTATATAAGCATTTTGAGGAGTTCATTAAAATTTTTTTCGTTATTTTGTGGAGCATTAGTGGGAGCCACTATAAATGCCTATCTGATAACTTTCTGACATTAATAATGGTTAGTCCTCTTGATTAGTCGCTAGCCACTTTAGGTAATTGCCTATAATGCTACTTTAACTAATGGTTAGTCGCTAGCCACTTTAGGCAGCTGCCTATAATGGTCTACTAAGTAACCAATGAGCAAAACTACAGTGGTTCACCTGAAATATCAATTTAGATCCATTAAAATTCTGCTATAGAATGTGCTATAGAATTGCTGGGTATTGAAGTTATAATCAGAAACACCAACACAACTTCTAACATTTTCTCTACTTATATAAATAAATTCTCGGCAATTCTTAAAACAAATGCAAATAGAATGAAATTAATTGATCTAATTATAAATTATATTTTTGGGATTTACGTTTATTTACATTTATTGTCAAAGGAATAATATATACTTTTGAAATCTTTGGTGGTTTAAAATTTTTGGATTGTAAATTAAAAATTACCATTACTGGATAACACCATTATGATTTGTACAGCAAAGCTCAATTCTAGAGTTATGAAAATTTGCAAAACTTTTTAGGATTGCAAAACAAAACATTGATAGAAGAGTATCAATAACTTATTATTTAAATATAACATTTATTGTTATTATTTAAATAAGATATTATTATCATATTATTATTTTATATTATATTTATTATTTAAATTACCTCAATAAAGTAATCTTTTTCTTTTTGTTGATCTAATGAAGAGGTTCCTCCAATATCACCTCCAAGCAGCATCAAGCGACTTTGTAAATCATTTACTTCCTCCAAAGTATATGTTTTAGGAGTGTAAACCTTCTCTGTGGAGTTACGTATTTCAAATTTAACAACATCAGATAATTTAGTTACAATAAAGTCACCATTGTTGTTTCCATGATTCCCAATAATAAAACATCCATTTCGATTGGCTGTTTGCGCTTCCATTATAGTTTTTGTAGCCACTGAGCCTTGAGATTTCTGTGCATTTATAAACCACTCGATATTGTTATTTGTATCAATCTAAAAAATAAACAAACAAAAAAAAAATAAACATTTAAATAAAAGAACAAAACCTTATATAAAAACTTAAAGTAAAAAAAATGTATTCATTTTACATATTTAAATTAAATAAGCAGTGTTAATAAATAATATATATATATATATATATATATATATATATATATATATATATATATATATATATATATATATATATATATATATATATACACAAACAAAAATCTTACTAGTTTCTTAATTATGTTTGGATCATTTTTCATTTTTTCCTCTATTTGTTGACAAGTTTGTAATAGTTCTTTAAATCCCGATTTGTTATTCAAGTTGAATATGACATCATTAAAAGCGAGACAACAAGCTTCAAAACATTTTACTCTATCAACATCATAATCGGTTTCACCTGCAGCTGTTGACATAATTTCAACAAAAACCTTCACTTCCTTTGGAGCTATATAAAGAAAAATTTTTGTAATTGCATTATTATAATTGTAGTAAATATTCAAATTTATTCAAAGTTATTGTTTTAGGTTATACATTATAACTAATTTAATTTAATAAAGTCCATTTATTTCATAACAGCAAACATCAATTTAATTATAATAAAATATATTTTCTACTGATAATCTTCATTATTAATTAAATAATAAAATTTGTAATAATTTTTATTTTATTATTGAGTTAGTATAATAATCATAATTATTTAAACTTTTATTAATTTTAGAGAGCAAAACATTAGGGAGTGAGACAATTTCTAATTGATTAAACAAGTGTCATTGAGTAAACAAATCTTTTTTTGCACCAAAATCTCAGACCCCCTTCAATTTTTAGTGTTGTACTTGTAACTGTGTTATCTCTAGAATAGACAATGTAATTTGAATCAATTATTATAACAATTAACAGATGCTTTTTAATATTGTAGAATTTATATAGGCTGATTTTGTGTATGACCAGTCACTGATCAATAACTGACCCATCATTGAATTCTCTCACTCAATAATTAAAATTTTCTAGTGCATCATTAAATTTAGAATTTAATGTAAATTATTTTGTGTTAGGGTATATACGGGTAATATTAGCACCTTAAGTGAAAATTGAAATATTTTCAATAATAATTTTTTTTGCAAATAAACAACTTTTAGGAATTACTATTTGGGCACGATAAATTTTTCTTTAAAACACAAAGGTTTGAAAAAAGTAACAAAAAGTGACCATATTACCCAGACTACCTGGTAATATGAGCACTTTAAATTAGCACAAAATAACATTAATTAAGTAAAAAAATATCAACCTGATAATTATAAATAACTTGTGGAACATAATGATTGGTTATTAACAAAACTTATTATTGAAAAACAAAATTTTAAGCCACTTTTTATTATTTTGTTTTTTGTTACTTTTTATTATTTTGTTTTATTATTTTGTTTTTTGTATATTTATTATTATAAATTATTTTGTAATTTTTTCAATTTTAGGACTTTAAAATAGGAATTTCAATGAAAAACACTAAAATTAAGGGTAATTTGAGCATGCTCATATTAAACAAAAATAATGTATTTAAATAAAGTCAAAAGTAAATAGTTCTATGCATTGTTTTTCAAACAAAAATGAAATGATTTCTAGCTAACACAATTTAGCATTAAAATTTCACAACACAAATTTATTCATGTGTGATGATAATACTTTACCAACACAAAAAAATTAATAGTGTTATAATTGATGATGACCACTAATTACTGCTTATAATTTTACGGTAATTACACAGATTCTTAATATCAAAACATAAAGTCAATTCTAAAAATACAAAGTAACTTTAACTTCACTGCTTACATCATTTAAGTTAGTATTAGTATATAGCTCAAACTACCAAGGTGTTCATCTTACTATAATCTACCCTAACCTTTAAAATTATGAAAAATGTTAGACCTCAAACTGTTAGAGGTCGGCAAAAAAAATTTGGGTCACTGTAAAACATAGA